ATTGATTAAAAAAATCAAAATAAGAAAAATCAGAAGATTTATGTTCCATTTAGAATTGTTATTATAAAATATATTTTAAAATAAATTATTATCTAAAAATATATATTAGATATTAAAAACATGTTTATATCAAATAAATTAAACTTGATTTTTATAAGATTTAACATATTTATTTTTATATAATGTTAAATTATTATAAAGTAAGTCTTTAGGACTATAATTTTAACCAAACATTTAAAAAATGTATATGATAGATAAATAAGTCATACTTAGGATATATATTTTTAAAGAAAGTTAGGTTCAAACTTACTAAATTATAACAAAATCTAGTCTAACTTAATTTATTTTTATCTTTAATTGTAATTGTAGATATAAAAGCTTATAAAAAATAATTATGATATATAGTTATGCTTTAAAAAGTTATATGTAAAATTTTTAATACTACAAATATATGAATAAGTATTGCCCTCATTATTTAAAATTTCTGGATCCGTCACTGGGATGAATGCATGTCTATGAGTGCCCCCACTAAAATTTTACTCTTATATATATATATATTTATTTATGGGGAATGCTAATGTACTCCCACCTATTTTTTAGTGGGAGTATGTTAGCAACCTACACCAATTTTTTAGGACAAAAAAATCACTCACTTCTTTTAATTTTGTTAATTCGTACAAAGGATATTATAGTAATTTAATTTAATTTTAAATGAAAATAAAATATTTTATCTCTCTTATTAATTTCATTCTTCAAATTATTTATTTTTTTATTAATTAATTTTTACTTGTTCAGAGAGAGAGGGGGAGACATCATGAGAGATGAGAGAGAAATGAGTTAAAGAAAGAATTTAATAGGAGAGAGATAAATAAGTTATAGAAGAAATTTAATAAGAGAGAGAAATGATTTGGAAAATAAAATTAATAAGAGAGAAAATATTTTATTTTTATTTAAAATTAAATTAAATTACTATAATATCCTTTGTACGAATTAACCAAATTAAAAGAAGTGAGTGATTTTTTTGTCTTAAAAAATTGGTGTAGGTTGCTAACATACTCCCACTAAAAAATAAGTGGGAGTACATTAGCATTCCCCTTTATTTATTTATTATAATTATATATATAAATTATATTCTAATCTAATACAAAAAAAAAATTGTTAAGTAATTACACACATTTTATAGAGACATGATACTTCTGAAAACTATTTTTATATATATTATAGATACAATATATGTTGATATATTGTTAAAAGGTGTAAATATAAATTATAGTAACACTTTTGTATGTGATTATATGTAATATTTTTTGTAATGATTGTTTTTTATATCTAATATGTTAAAATATATTAATTTTTATTTATATTTTATTGTATAATATAATTTCTTTCACTTTATGATAAAATTGTCTTGATTTTTTTTATTAATATAATATATTTTATTTTTTGACTAAAAGATTTATTACTTCTTTATTTATTAAAGATGTCATAATTTAGTTTACAAATATATATTGTTTTTTAATTTTTATTTTAGTTTTTAATCCTTTTGATCTTGTATATGTACATTATGTATCCGAAAGAGAGGATCCAAATTAAGAGAAATGATAGTAATTGTCACACAAATTTTTTTATTATTATTTATACTTAAACATATTTTAAAAAATTACTCTTATAAAAAAATAGGCTTTATTCTCATAAAATATTATTATTTTGATTGAACATAACAATTTAGAAGAGATACAAAAGAAAACAAATAGTAATTATATTATCTTTATCTTAGTAACTTATACCATATTGTTTCTTTAAAATTAAACAAGTCATTAAAAATTACAACATCACACTTAAATATAATATCATCCAGAAAAGAAAAAGAAGAATTTGTCAATCTATTTACGAGAATATTTTAATTTATAAAAAAATAGGTATATTAAATTTTTTCATCACACAAATATACTTTTTTTAAAAAAATTATTATATTTTTAATAAAAAATATTATAAAATATTTTATTACCTTCACTTATCAAATTTTTTGGATCCGTCACTCTCTCTCTCTCTCTCTCTCTATATATATATATATATATGTAGACACACACACAAATACTATGTTTGAATATATAAATCAATTCCTATATGTGAAACATGAATCTCTATCTTGTATGAAAGCGCTTTTAGGAGCTTTTCTTTGACGAGAGAGTTTTTAAAGATTTTTTTGTCTTCTCATAGATTAAGTGTGCAAATTTGATATTTTATTTCATTAATTCAAATTGACGGATAATCATAGAATCATTTTATACGTTAATTTGAATTAATGAAAATTTTTAATTTTTTTAAAATTTATAGATTTGATCTCTGCATTAAAAAATTTAAATTCAATTATTCGATTGTTAAAATGTAATATAGAACATGAGTTTTGAATGAAATAAGTTTAGATAAATTTATTCCTAAAATAAATAGATCATTCATATTATATATATATATATATATATATGTATATATATATATAT